CGCTAACTCGCGGTCAACGAAATCCTGTCGAGAACGAGGTTAGGCTTAACTAGTCATAAACGTTACACCTTTTCTACGTACGGCTACTGTACCACTGCATTGGTGCTTCTCTTGAGCTGCGCGTCATGCGATCGAACGCTCATTTTGGGCCCGGCATGCCGACGGCAGAGCTAGCCAGATCGGCAATCCAGGCCAACAAGTTAAACCATGCGGAGCCTTTCCGCTAAACTGCAACTAGACGCGGCGCCGAAGCCGCTTTCCAGGCACATTGCCGCCCCCACCGCCCCCATCATTCGAAGAATAGCACGCCCCATTAATACAGTAAGGGTTCGTGAAAGGGCAGCTATGGCCACAGTCCCCGCAGTTATTGCTGTTGCTATCAGTATTGGCGCACACACCCGCGCAGCACTCCTCGCCCGGACCGCATGGCGCATGGTTGCACGAGCCGCAGTAAATGGTGCTGGTCGCCAAGTTGGCGCACGTGCCCGAGCAGCACGACTCGTTCGGACCGCACTTATGGCCGCACGCGCCGCAGTTGTCGGTGTCGCTCCCTTTGTCGGCGCACACGCCCCCGCAGCACGTCTCGCCCGAAGCGCACGCTTTGTTGCATATGCCGCAGTTGCGGGTGTCGCTCTTCAGGTTGGTGCACGTCTCCCCGCAGCACGAATTGCCCGCGGCGCAGCAGCTGCCGCCGCAGCACGACTCGCTGGAACCGCATGCGCGGCCGCACCCGCCGCAGTTGCTGGTGCTGGTTGTCAAATTGGCGCACTGGGCACCGCAGCACAGCTCGCCCGAAGCGCACTTGTTCGAGCACGAGCCGCAGGCGTCGGTGTTGCTCGTCAGGTCTTTGCTCTCGCCCCCGCAGCACGACCCGCCAAAGCAGGTTTGGCCGCACGAGCCGCAGTTAAGGTAGTCACTCATGACGTCAGCGCAGGCGTTGTTGCAGCACAACTGGCCGCCCGTGCAGGGGCCGCCCCCGCACTGACACTGGCACTGCGGCGGCGTGGCCACGAGGAGCCGCCGGCCGGTGAGGGACAGCCTTGGAGGCGTGGAGGTGACGTCGATTGACGTGCGCGTCGTGACGTCAGCTTCCGCCTGAAACGCACGGTGCGGGCGTGTCAGCGTTCGGTTCGAGGTCACGTTGAGTGAATAGTGCGACTATGCTGACACACCACCAGATGGACGGATCTCGTCTCCCTACCGCTTGCCAAGTCCATCACTCGAACCGTGATATTTAGCCAAACTCAGAAGGGAGCGTCTCACGAATCTCAAGCAGATTCGAAACAGAATCGCTTCTTGATCCACTGGTGAGCCACATTAATTATGTCTCATATTTTCGTTTCCAAAGTCAAACAATAGACGGTCTTTTTTAGACAACCGGAAAGCAAAAGACAGGAGTTGCCCGTTGAGCACCCTTCAGGCAACCAGAACGTAGTACCCGAATTCCCTGTGATGGAAAAGCGCTGCCACAAAATCTGAATCTGGTGAGCAACAATTTGTTCCGGCAGAATGATACGTTTGGTGCGTACAACCGAATACTAGATGGCCCGGAGAATTTGATGCTGCAAGGAGCGTCTCTTTGACACCAGAAGACATCGAACATTGCAGCATATGTACCGTTTTGAAGCGACTGAAGAAGCAGTCGGTAGCCGTCAGATTGGACGTCGCGTAATCGTCATCCATTCCTTCGACGTACTCGCGGTGCAGCAAGCCTTCGAGAGTGCCCATCCGCAGACGCTCCTCAATGGCCCCGGGCGCATACATCTGGCCGACGAACTGCGGGATTTGAAGGATTTAGGGTTTTAGGGCGCGGCACAATGACGAGAACACCTACTGAACAACCTCCAGTCCTGTTTGTCCCTTTTTGTGCTAGGCTTCTGTTGGAGGATTGAGCAGAAAGCTGATTAAGTGCTTTCAGCGAAGTCTAGGGTGTACTTGGATGAACTAAGTACTGCATGCTTGAAGCGGCCTTTTGACACGGTTTGCGCAACGATAGCACAGACTCTGATGCAGACTTCTCCGTTCTGACACGGATAAAAAATCTACGAACCTGTCTTTAAAAGTTGCAGTGTCAGGAGGGATCATTTTGCGCTAGCCAATTTCTCGAGCCAGGGTGTTTATGTGCATTTCTAAGACTAGCATAAGGAATGAAAGGAGATGTCCGCTTTAAAGGTTGAACAGTACTACAGGTCTCTGGGCAAAAGATTCCAGATATCTACACATACGTGGAAGATTCATTGCTCCAATCTCTTTGCTCACCGAGCAGTTTGAGTGTCTCATTCTTTGAGCGTCAAACAAAGAATTAATTCCTGTTGCGAGTCTAAACTTGACCCTTGATTGAGGGTCTTGACAGAAGTTAGGTTTCAAGGATGATGCAGGCATGCGCAATTGAGGTTGCATACCAATTTTAAGCTGTTGACCATAAACAAGCAAGCCGCCTTGAAGAAGCATGCACTGGTGAAAAGAGAAACCTTAGCTTTAGTTGCGAATTGAACAAATCAGAAAAAAACTAAAATCCGTCATGCACAAAACAGTCACTGAGTACTTCCGAGCCCCCGGCCTAGGCCTTTTGGCACCTTCTGCAAGCCCCTAAGAAGACATCCGTCTCCGAGCAGGTTGAATCCAAGAGCAGGCACGGCTGTTGGCTGCTCACCCCATGGACTTCTGGCGTGATCGAAATGGATTGGATGTCAAAGCTGAGGCCGTAGATTGGAGGATCGGAGATGATTTCCTTGTCAACCTCCACCCAGATATCCATCTTTAGCTGATTCGGAATGGAGATCGTCACGAAGGTTCGGTTCTCGGATTTGTAAGTAATGGTCAGCGTCTCATCGGGACTGGTCCACGTTGACGCGCCGTCCGGAACCTGAACGGAAAGATCGATCAATTACCATCTAGAAGGGATAAAGGGCGTTAACGTAAACTGATCACAAACTGTGTTTCGAGCATGGCCCTTTTTGAGGACTTTTGAATGCTTCAGAATACAAAATGCTTCTCATACGTCACTTACATATCAAAAGCATGATTTAGTGTTCAAATCGCAACAGGCGGTCAGCTAATCTGCATCTCGACTCGCTCGGCTGGAAAATATTCTTGAGGTTCAAGATGGCCCTTGCAAGTATAAAGTTGCTTTCAACGGATACCTAGTTTTGGACCAAATGCAGCTTCGAGCGCAGAGCTAGAGTTCATGACCGACCAGACTCAGCTGACTTATCCGAGTCGGTCTGCTTGCTTCAGAACCATCAGATCGAACTCCGGAAAAATGTATGTATAAAGAATTAGGTTACAGTTGCTTGAAGAACGGCTAGAATGTCAGGCTATATATGGTCCCCCTGGCTCCATTCGATGCTCTCGTACTTCACAACTAATCTCAAGATTTCAGCTGGCCGGGATGGCTGAGATGGTCTGTCCCCGCGCTGCTCTAACTACTGAAAATGTAGAGCTCGAAACCTCAAATCGCCTTCAAAAAATCCAACCTCCAAAAGGTATAAATCAGAGAGATCGACAGAGCAATTTGAAGGTGACTTGGGAAGAACTCTGACTTTACAGGATCACAACCCCATAGGGAGAAGTACTGTGGTCACAGCAAATTACAGGGTGAATAACTCCTTCTTAGGACTAGAGGTTTGAGCAACTCTGAGGAACGCTGAATCTTCTCTTGTGAAAAACCCTTCACTGCAGTTGCACAGTTGTGCTTCTCTGGACACATTTTGCCTCGTCGTTTGTTCTGTAAGTTAATGACAACGATACGAAAAGCCTTACCAAGATCCCGGTGTCCTTCTCGAGGAAGTGGATAGCAAGTGGTTCTTCCGAGTCAGAAGCAGCCCGCGCCCTGGTTTGGTTGTGTACGATCTCCAGCGCTTGTTGATCATTATTCTCTGGCGTGGAATAAACGATCCCAATCGCATCCATCCATGTCCCCTCGAAAAAGGAGTCCACTGCGCTAGCTGCTCGATGAAGGATGTTGATATCTGGAGGCAGGTTGAACATGTGTGCGTTCAACTGCAGGCAATCATAAGGACAGGTCAGAGAGAGGGAAGCAGGGAAAGAAAGTAGGTTTGTCAAAGCCATGCGCCAACACTAAGATTGTGGAGTGCTGCAGTGAAAAGTCCGTTAGAGCTTTATGTGGAAAGGAGAGCTTGGCTGGCAAAAATGATTGGATACATACATTACGTCAAGGAGTCGGAGCCACTGTGACCATGCAGCCGCAGGTCAGAAATGGACAGAGCGTGCTTTTATAGTCCTATAGCCTGAGGACTCAATCCAAGGCACAGCAATGGCGCATGCCTACTCCGTACCAGATTTTCTAGAGTCGTTGGCGTTATGATGAATGAAACTAGAAAAGGAGATGTTCTATCTGGATCAGAGCTGTTGTCTGTCACAAATAGCAAGAGCCTCAATTTCAGTAGACCGGTCATGCTTGTTCAGTGAAGATCAAGGCTTTCAGATCTGCTAGCTAAAGCAGGTGAGCGGCGGCCTCTTTGGGACAGTGAGAATACAGCAGGCAGCTGTGAGTGTCAAGAAAACATTATAGTCTTCCGTTTGCTTTGTTCACACTCTCTAGATTGAGATACACGAGAGAGCAATGGTCAAGGCCTAGGAGACAACCTTTGGCACATAGGAGGCTTTGAAGCAGTCTAGGCTAAGCTGAGTCCTCTCTGCCATAGACTTCCAGGGTCCCAAGCCAGAAGGCAGTTTGGTGACTGCAGTATCGCCTTATTTTTGTTAGATCGCCGACAGTGGTGGGACTTACGCAGATTGAGTGGTCTGAGATCATGCAGTAGCTCTGGTTGCCCATACCATGGAAATCCCAGGTCATCTGCTGGCCAGTCTGGGGGACAGTAAGAAAGAAATGGGGGTCTCCAGTCCCTCCTGACGAAGCTGCAGGACGAAAGGAGACCAGGTCTTGTCAGCTAATGCTCTAATGCACTTGCTTATATGACGTCCAAGCTATACATGTCAAGTTCATCAGGTGCACTGGGTTGCAATCGAGGGGTGGCCGGATTTGGCAATTGAAATGTACACGGAAGACTAGCTCCAAAGTTGTAAGCAATACTGCATGATTATCACTTCTAACAGGAGAGCACTTGCCCCTTCGGCGAAAAGACAGCACAGCTTCTAGTTGGTCACATTAAGGATGTTGAAGTGCCCATGTTTTTGTTCAAGGTTGTGGCCATCTTTTGAGACCAAAGCCAACCGTGTGGTTGTTTCTTGCCTCAGATACATAGTGAGAGTTAGCTGAAACGAAACAAGCTTGCTAACCTTCTCGCTGAGCAGTCCTCCAATGAAGAGAAGACAGTCAAAGAGACGTTGACCAAAATCTGGTCAAGATCAGCAGCGACTTCCTGCAATGCTTGCCTACGCCTTCATACTATGCGCGAAGGATGGCAAAGCCTTTGCTGCGATAATATTTGTTTTTGTTCTGACCATTGATAAGGAAAACTCCTAGCTTGGTTACCACCTTTCCGACCTTCTCACCTCCACAAGAAGCACCGCCAGTGCAGCTGAAACCTCGGCTGGTCGGGCAACATCCATCACCGCACATGACCCCACACACACCGTTGCAGCAAGTAGCCCCATTGGTGCAGTCTGTATCGTCCCCACAACTAGTTGCAATGACCGGAGCCAGGGCCAAGCAGCTCACGGCAGCGCAGAGAGCAAAGAGAGCAAAGCTCGGCTTGGCGCTGAGCCCTTTGCAAACCTGCCCAAAAACGCCAGAGGCCAGACTGGGATAGGTCATGACCGACCGAGCTTGTGCGTTCCTAAGTGGCGGCATGTTGAGAAGGGGAATTGACTCTGCTGCACTGCTGAGGATGCTGTGAATCCTGCGGCCGCCCTAAAACCAAAGGCAATCCAAAACTGAGAGCCTGAGAACCTGACACTCGAGAGCTGGTGAAAATTTTGCGAAAGAAGGCACGAGCAAAAAGAGGCTGCCCTGCCATGAATCATTGAATGGGAAACTTTCTGGCTTCAGATGCGCCAAAGCCATAGCATTACTAGGCCTTAGCGCCTTCACCAGATCTTCACTTCCTCAGTTCGGCACTACCTAAAATTGAAGATTCACAGACTACAGTGAGTGCTTCTCCGTGCTAATTCTAGCTAAAGCACTACGTAGGTCGGTACCTTAGTGTAGTAGTTATACCGGCCAGAAAACCACCTCCCGCCTTCTACGGAA